AGTCTCACCCGTTGTATTATCAGCGTATGAGCAGTTGAACAGAAAGAAACAGACAGCAATGGTTAGCCACCATGTGAAGTAGTCCATCGTAGATGGATATCAGATAGGCTGGGGTCTGGGCTGTAAAGAGAAGAACGTTCTAGGTGGCTTCTTTGCTTGAACAGCCGAACGAGTCTACTAGCATGAAGTTTTTTCATTAATTTATAGTATTAAGAAAGTTAACAGATGGCAATCTGATTAAGTGTTCTTTTTCTCGTACGTGTCATTTACATCCTGATTTACCGAGCCTTTAGCAAATTGAGGTCAGGAATTAGGTTGTTAGCACTATTTTTTTCAAACTGATGTCAATATTTGTATCTAAACTCTAACCAAAGAAAAACATGAATTGTATTACTTATCCTAAAATGATACCGCATATCACAAATTAACTAATACACAATTTGGGAAGAGTCCATTGTCAAACATTAATTTTGATTGGACAAATCTTTCTAAGAAATGTGCTTGATTAGATTCAACTTTGGCCGACGTTAAAGATACTTTAGGTTATTGTAATTAATTAGTTTTTTTTTACATTTTTACGCCCTAGAATATCTATATATATAATTCTCTTCTGGGAGCCGTTAGAAAACAAGCTGCAAACGCTCTCCCTACCTCCCCACCCCTACATGGTTTTAGTGAGCTGTGTTCACTCTAAATGTTTACAAGCAGAGCCAACGATTTTAAACGTAGGGGGGGGGGGAGGGGGGGAAGGAAGGGGGGGGGGGTTATGGTCCTTAACGAGCTACTTATAGTGTTTTACAGAAATATTTTCAGTGTCAGCGTTGGTACTGTCGAATTCACAAATTATGAATTATTGAAAATTAGAAACAACTAAATAGCGGCGTATGTTATGCCGCGGGCCGGCTCCTCGTGTGTTATATTATAGAAATGTTTGACCCTGAGTTTTAGAGTTGCTGTATTAAGCAAGTTTTAATTTCTATGATGTGAGGGTCAAGGTTAGTGTAATAATAGTATAATTTTATTGGGAAGGTCAGTGTTATGCGAGGTTTTCAGTTAGTATAATTCCAAGGTGTAATCCTACTCCCAAAGATCGATAGAAAGTATAGTCGTGGCAAGATCTCATTGGTTTCTTTAAATTAATGTTAATTATGCCAATCTAAAAAGCAGGTTATTAAAAAAAGGATATCGATTTGATAAAATATCGGTGAAACTAATTTAACTTTTGAACGAGGTTAGGTCATGTTTCCTCGATATCTATCTACGAAGAGTTAAGCGTATCACGGCAAACTAGGTTATACAGTGAACAATAGCTCCATAGAAATCAACTCATCAGTCGTCTTTAAGGGTCATCTATTTAAGTCGTCCACACGAGGACGTGTGGTGGGGGGGGGGGGGGGGGGTAAGAAAATCGAATTTTGCGGGCGCGTGTGGACTAAGGAGGGGTGGGGGCTGGTTCGGTTTGTTGTGGACTGTTACGTGTCATATGCGGTCAGGGTAGAATAGGGTAGAATCAGTGGCGTAGCGAGGTCGGGTGTCACCCGGTGCGGCACTTAATGGTGTCACCCCCCAGAGGCGTTGCGACCCTTCCCGGGGACAAACTTTCATGTTTTCGATTTGCACCCCCCCCCCCCTCAAACTTTCGAATTGCACCCCCCCCCCCTTCAAGTTTTTCTCTATATATTTTGCTATTTTTTGCCTTGGTGTCACCCCCCTAAATGGTGTCACCCGGTGCGTTCCGCACCCCCCGCCCCCCCCCCCTCGCTACGCCCCTGGGTAGAATAGCCTCGAACTTAGGGGGGAGTGCGTGTGTGAGTTGAGTTCACCCTACTGTGTAGTAACCCCGGTGTCTTTATGTATTGTAATCCCAAGGTCGTTTGCGGGTATAAAAGCGAGAGTGAAGGATTGTGGGGATGAGGAGCGGTTAGTTAATAGCAGCTAGGACGAGGGCTGCTCTGTTATGTGTGAAGAATGGAGACAGAATAAAAGGATTGAAGTAAACACGAATCGTCTCTTGAGTTGATACCAACCCGAACGTAACATGGACGTCAACATGTTGAATTTAACATGGAAGTGCTTATACATTTTTACATGAGACTCGTAGCCTGCATGTTAAAAGTACAATGGACACAAGCGAGAAAAGTCTCAAAGGTATTTGAGAGGTGTATAAATTCATTAAAAAATCATGCACAGCGTATTTACAATTAATATGGTTATAAAATCCTGCCTGTCTGTTTTTTTTTCGGACTTTACTAAAGATTGGATGTATTTGATGTTTATAATATTTTCGGTAACTAAATAAAAATTTAAAAAAAAGCAAAAACAATTTGGTTTTCACGTGTAATGGCGACATAAACATGGCATCCTGCTATTGGATAGGCTGCCATAGATTTTATTGTACACATTGTAAGCTAAAAATAGAAAACTAGGTCATGGAGTTTTAAATTTGTATTGTTATTTAAAAACTTGATCTGCAAAGTTTTGTAAAACAAATAGTTATCGATCACTAAGTTACTGTACAGCCAATCAATATTTGTCTTACGAAAGTGAAACATCCGGTTATAACTTAGGCTTGATGAAAATAAATAGAAATGTAGCCTTAAACTCAACAAATTATTTTCAAGTTCTCTGGATTTGCAACTTTTATAGCATTTATTCTAAGAATAAAAAATTTCTAAATTAATTTTAGGCTTAAGTTTTTATTTTTTATTTTTCTTTACGGTCTAAATCTAAAAAAACACGTTTTTATTCCATGACAACAACAATTATGGAAGGAATCTCGTCAACTCGCTCGCCTCCATTAAGAGGACAGTGGTTTTAGCGCAATTTCCATTCTGGAGAATTGCGTTTATTAACCCGTCATTTCTGGATGTATGAATGAATGTATGTATGGATGTGTGTTCGCAGCTTTAAGTCGTATCTCCTCCTCAACGAAGCAATATCGAGGACTAGTTCCAAAAGCAAATTTGTTAAGCAAGTTACGAGGATGATAGTGGGCCAAAAAAAACTCCGGAATTCCTTCCTGGAGTTCACGGAAAAGCCAAAAAAAAAACCCTCGAAAAAATGCAGTTTTTGGCCCATATCACTTAGCGACTTGAAACATTTACCAATCGATTTCTGCTATAATTTAGAACAATATTGCCGAAAAAAGTTTTCAAAAATATCCTTTCGTTCGGTCACAAATTTTAAAATTACATAAACACCTACAAACCGATCGTTCTTCTAGCTTGAACGCACCCCAGCATTATACGTCAGAGCTATTTTTAGATAACATAAGGAAATTGCGCATAAATGTCACTAGACTTTTTAATTAACTTGTTTTTTAAATCCTATCGCAACGTGTAAATAAAGTTTTGGATATAATTATACCTACACTGGGACATCCTTATCATAAAAGACGTTATGAGTTGTAACGATTTTTTTACCTTCCCCAATTCACCCGTGGTAACTCAAAGCCAGGACCTAACACCTAAAACTAATTTGTAATTAACAATTTGGTCAAAAATTTGGTTGTTCTCTACCTAAATACTATTTTACAGCTCTACACATAGTGCAGATTCTCTCATGTAACCAAACAAACAAACAAAACAAAAATATCCAACATGTAAACAAACTTGAGTTTCAGTAGTATATAGATTAAAGAAAATCATTTATATTCTCCTTTTTAATGTACTATTACTTAAAAGCTTATTATATAAACGTTTTTGTGCATTTATATAAATATATAATAGTATAGACTAATTTTCATCTCATCTTAATACACATTGTTTATGTTTATTAGATACGCAATTATTTATTTCAAAGCGATTCTATTTTTATTAAAACATGTTATATACAGTGAAGTTTGAGAGAAGTCACTATCGCTATTTAAAAAAAAAAATCTAATCGCTGTCAATATAACATACTATAAATTTTGTAATTCTCATTGGTTTAACTAATTTCCCATACATTAACAAATATATATTTTTCAATTGTTGTTTATTACATGCGTGACTCAATGACTCTCACAATTCAAGTTTGGGTACCTGATCACATACCAAATATAAAGTTCAGTTTGTTGTTTATTCCATGCGTGACTCAATGACTATCACACTTCAGGTTTGGGTACCTGATCTCATACCAAATATAAAGTTCTGTTTGTTGTTTATTCCATGCGTGACTCAATGACTCTCACACCTCAGGTTTAGGTACCTGATCACATACCAAATATAAAGTTCTGTTTGTTGTTTATTCCATGCGTGACTCAATGACTCTCACATTTCAGGTTTGGGTACCTGATCACATACCAAATATAAAGTTCTGTTTGTTGTTTATTCCATGCGTGACTCAATGACTCTCACATTTCAGGTTTGGGTACCTGATCACATACCAAATATAAAGTTCTGTTTGTTGTTTATTCCATGCGTGACTCTCACACCTAAGGTTTGGGTACCTGATCACATACCAAATATAAAGTTCTGTTTGTTGTTTATTCCATGCGTGACTCAATGACTCTCACACCTCAGGTTTAGGTACCTGATCACATACCAAATATAAAGTTCTGTTTGTTGTTTATTCCCTGCGTGACTCAATGACTCTCACATCTCAGGTTTGGGTACATGATCACATACCAAATATAAAGTTCTGTTTGTTGTTTATTCCCTGCGTGACTCAATGACTCTCACATCTCAGGTTTGGGTACATGATCACATACCAAATATAAAGTTCTGTTTGTTGTTTATTCCATGCGTGACTCAATGACTCTCACATTTCAGGTTTGGGTACTTGATCACATACCAAATATAAAGTTCTGTTTGTTGTTTATTCCCTGCGTGACTCAATGACTCTCACATTTCAGGTTTGGGTACCTGATCACATACCAAATATAAAGTTCTGTTTGTTGTTTATTCCATGCGTGACTCAATGACTCTCACACCTCAGGTTTGGGTACCTGATCACATACCAAATATAAAGTTCTGTTTGTTGTTTATTCCATGCGTGACTCAATGACTCTCACACCTCAGGTTTGGGTACTTGATCACTGACCAACATGGCGTCAGGTACTCGTTCTACAACAGCACCCAGTTGAAGGAGAATCTGCTACGTCACATCCGGTTTCAAGAAGTGGATGATTTCCTCTACTACTTAAAGGTGAGATCTGACAGCTGTGAGATCTTAAGTTCAGGAATAGTATGTCTTTTGCTGAGCCGGTGAATTAAGTATTAAAAGTATATACATAAATATATATATATATATATATATATATATATATATATATATATATATATATATATATATATATATATATATATTTATATATATATATAAATATAAAAATATATAAATATATATATATATATATATATATATATATATATATATATATATATATATATATATATATATATATATATATATATATATATATATGAGAGAGAGAGAGAGAGAGAGAGTTGAGTATTATTTTGTAATTAATGTGAACCCCCTTCATAAAAAAACAGTATCCAAAAAAAAATAACAACAACAACAACAGTTATATCGCCTGCTTCTAGTAATGAAACAAAGGTTTCTTTAGCAGAAGTTGCCTGAGAACGCTTCAATCTACAGCCGTGACGAAGTGAGTGAGTTGTCGAAACGTCTGGACACGGTGAAGGAAATCAACAAGAAGCGAAGGGAGAGAATATTTAAGGACACGTTCGAAGAGTTTATCTGGCTGTCCGATCAGAAATATCGGGGACAGGTATGCCATATTGCACGCTTGTTTTCTTCTTTTTTTTAAGCGAGACAAATTTGGTTTGTATGTTTTATGTAAACCTTAGAAAAACAATACCTCTTTGGTTTATGTTTGTGGCACATATTGGCACTTTAAAGTAGGATACATGTGTAGGGAGAATAAAAACCAACCAATACGAGTATTTCAGACAGGAGCATAGTTGCCTTTGATGGTTATGCTTTATTTCTATCTGATTAAGTTTTTTTAAGGAAAATGTCATAGATTTCATCCCATGTTATAACGAATGTTTATTTTTGTCATGGCGAGAAAACTATGACTAGCTACTGAGATTACTGAAGTAGGTTACTATGACTACCGATACAGACAACTATCATAGGCTGGTTCCAAATCCTACCGTTCGCCACTTTGTTTATTTTGAACATTGTGTGCGTAATTGTGTATTTTATCATAGAAAATAATTGCAGTGACTTTCATTGTTTTACTAACCCTGGCCATCTGGTTGACTTCAAGGGAGGGTTGAGAGTGGTTTTTTAAATACTTGAATTGATCAAATAATTCTAAAATTGTTTTCAACGGTTATATTCAATGCAAAAATATGAAAATGATTGTAATCGATGGCTCCCAAACAGTTACAATTTTATAAAAAATGTAACTATAATTTTATCGCTAGCCATAATTTTAAGAAATATTTTTTAAAAACTTTAATATTATTAACAAAGATTTTTCAAGCTTATTAGTGTGGCGCTTACAATTTTAAACTTCATTATTTTTCAAGAAGTGTTATACATTCAAAAACTACATTTATATACCTTTGATTTGATATCAATTTTAATTATCAAAATTAATACGTAACCTATAAAATAATATTTAAAATGCGTTTGTTTTTAAATGGCTACATTACTATGATTGGTACGATGCAGAGGCGTAGCGAGGGGGGGGGGGGGGGGGGGGGAGGCGGGGGGGACATATGTCCCCGGGCGCCGACCTTAGGGGGGGGGGCGCCAAAATGGGTTGGAAAAACAAATTGAAAGTTTGGTGGGCGGGGGGGGGGGGTGCAAATAAAAAGTTCGAGGGAGGGGGGTGCAAATCGCAAGTTTGAGAGGGGGGGGGTGTGCAAATCGAAAGTTTGTCCCCGGGCGCCGGAAGGGTCGTTACGCCTCTGGTACGATGGGTTAGATTTTAAGATGGGGTGACTGTTCAGCAGAAATGTGTTGTCTGTTAGAGCTTTTCGCATTCAAATACAATGTGGGCAAAATGGGCGGGCAAAGTTGTCTCGATCCAGCAATATTTTAAATGAATTTTTTTAAACCCTGCGTAAGTTTTTCAATTATTGACATTACTTTAGTAAGACGTTACTTATAAAAGGTTGTATAAAACGCAAAAATAACGTTACAACTATGTGTAGTTGAAATGACCATGAAACATGGTTAAAATATGGAACCCCGGTATCGTCGTTTTCGGCGGCCATCATTACCATGACAACGGTAACAAAAGTAGGTCAAGCAACAGCCTACTCTAATTACCGAAAAGGGGACGGAGTGGTTGAGCGATACAGTGCTAGACTGCTAACACACAAATCTCTCTGATGGGTACCTGACTCACGTTAGCAAAACAAAGTCGGCTGGGCATAGTGCTTGTCGAGGTCATTGAAACAGATGAACTCTATATAATCTGCCCCATGTTTCTTTGGCACAAAAAGGAAAATATGATGATGTTGTTACCCAGATGAGTCGCTACCAACGTCAGATATGTATGGTTGCCAAAAGAAAAGGACTACTGAGGTTAACAAATTATATTACTATGACTACCAAACAAAACAGACAACTATAATAGGGCTTGTAAGTAGGTCACCAACTTCTCGTTCTCCTACTTGCCAGCTAGTAGATTTTTTTATAAAATTAACAATAATAAAAATTGGAAAAAAAATAGAAAGCTACTTTCGCAATCGCTAGGTTTTTTAACCTCGTAACCAATGACAATAGTAGATTTTAAGGTGAAGGCTAGCTAAAGGAAAAGAATATAGCCAACATTAAATTGTGATTTTTAAAAAAAGCGTAGAGTTTGTCAATTATTTATTCGAATCCGTAACAAGTTTTCCTAAACGCAGTTACAATATCAATATAATATTAATAACCTAGGACTACTATTATTTATAAAAACATAAAGTTGTTGTATTTTGAGTACTGTTGGTATTTTTAAATCTCCTTGCGTAGATAGAAGAAAAACGCATTTTTTTTGTTATTGCGAATCGTGATAATAAAAATTGATTTAGTTCGAAAATTTATATATAATTTCTAGGCAAACGAGATTTAGAATTTTAAGCGAGAAGGACCGAGAATTACAAGCTATGTGAATAAGACTGTGTCCTATAAGATTGTGTCATCTCCAATAAGATTGTGTCCTCTCCAATAAGATTGTGTCCTCTCGTATAAGATTGTGTCCTCTACTATAAGATCGTGTCCTTTAAGATTGTGTCCTATAAGATTGTGTCCTATCAAATAAGATTGTGTCTTCTCCTATAAGATTCTGTCCTATAAGATTGTGTCCTATAAGATTGTGTCCTATTAGATTGTGTCCTATGAGATTGTGTCCTGTAAGATTGTGTCCTTATAGATTGTGTCCTATGAGATTGTGTCCTATAAGATTGTGTCTTCTCCAATAATATTGTGTCCTATTAGATTGTGTCCTCTCCTATAAGATTGTGCCCAATAAGATTGTGTCAACTCTTATAAGATTGTGTCCTCTCCAATAAGATTGTGTCCTATAAGATTGTGTCCTCTCCTATAAGATTCTGTCCTATTAGATTGTGTCCTATGAGATTGTGTCCTATAAGATTGTGTCCTATAAGATTGTGTCATATAAGATTGTGTCCTCTCCTATAAGATTGTGTCCTCTAAGATTGTGTCCTCTCCAATAAGATTGTGTCCTCTAAGATTGTGTCCTCTCCTATAATATTGTGTCCTCTACAATAAGATTGTGTCCTCTCCAATAAGATTGTGTCCTCTAAGATTGTGTCCTCTAAGGTTGTGTCCTTTTAGATTGTGTCCTCTCCAATAAGATTGTGCCCAATAAGATTGTGTCAACTCTTATAAGATTGTGTCCTCTCCAATAAGATTGTGTCCTATAAGATTGTGTCCTCTCCTATAAGATTCTGTCCTATTAGATTGTGTCCTATGAGATTGTGTCCTATAAGATTGTGTCCTATAAGATTGTGTCCTCTAAGATTGTGTCCTCTACAATAAGATTGTGTCCTCTCCAATAAGATTGTGTCCTCTAAGATTGTGTCCTCTAAGGTTGTGTCCTTTTAGATTGTGTCCTCTCCAATAAGATTGTGTCCTCTCCAATAAGATTGTGTCTTATAAGATTGTGTCCTCTCCAATAAGATTGTGTGCTCTTAGATTGTGTCCTCTCCTATAAGATTGTGTCCTATAAGATTGTGTCCTATAAGATTGTGTCCTCTCCAATCATTGTGTCCTCTCCAATCATTGTGTCCTCTCCAATCATTATGTCCTCTCCAATCATTGTGTCCTCTCCAATAAGATTGCGTTTCTCGCCAAAAAGATTGTGTCCTATCCTATAAGATAAGATTGTGTCCTATAAGATGGTGTCCTCTCCAATCATCGTGTCCTCTCCAATCATCGTGTCCTCTCCAATCATTGTGTCCTCGCCAATAAGATTGTGTCCTCTCCTATAAGATTGTGTCCTCTCCTATAAGATTGTGTCCTCTCCTATAAGATTGTGTCCTAAAAGATTGTGTCCTCTCCAATACTATTGTGTCCTCTAAGATTGTGTCCTCTCCTATAAATGTGTGTCCTCTCCAATCAGATGCCGCAGACGATGGTGCCAGAGATGGCCAAGCTTGGGTTCCCGCCAGGCTTCCCCGTGGCCAGATTTCAAGATGGCCGCTCACGGAATGTAACAATAGGTGGCCGGCAGTCTGACGATATCCGGCTGGTTTATTTACATTCCGGGATGCAATATGAGGTGAGGGATCAGTTGTGGGGAGGTGAGGGGGTTGGTGTGGGGTGATGAGGGGAGGTGAGGGGGTTGGTGTGGGTGATATAAGGATGTGAGCAGGAGGGGTGAGTTGTGGGGTTGGTGTAGGGGAAGTGACGTCGAAAGTGTGGGGAAGTGAGGCGAGGGGAGGGGAGGTGAGGGGAGGTGAGGGGACGGGGTTGGTGTCGGTGATATGAGGATGTGAGCAGGAGGGGTAAGTTGTGGGGGTGGTGTAGGGGAGGTGACGTCGAAGGTGTGTGGAGGTGAGGGAGTGGTGGGGATCTGAGGGATAAGGTGTTGAAGTGTGTGGTGTGGGGGAGGTGAGGGGAGGGGAGGTGAGAGATTTGTGTGGGAAGGTGAGGTGAGGTGAGTGGTGTGGGGTGGTGAGGAATAAGGTGTGTAGATGTGAGAGGTGAGATGTTGATAGTAGTTAGGGTGTGAGGTGCCTTGTGCGTAGAGGAGGCGTGAGTCTTGGTAGTGAAGGGATGAGGTGTGAGGAGGTAAAGGTGTGGGGAGGTAAAAGTGTGTGAGAGCGGCGAAGGGTTAGTTGTGGGAAAGCTGTTAACTGGCGGGTTTTAAAGACGGGAGGTCAGATAAGGGAAGGGTGTTGAGTGGGTGTGGGGTGGGGTGGAGAGACTGAGAAGATCTGGAGTGTCGAGTTTGGGGAAGATTTGAAGGCTTTTTTTTAGGGTGTCAGTGGGGGAGAATTAGGCGTAAGATTGTGGGGAGGGTGGGGGTGTGATGGAGGGTGGGGGTTGCTAGCTGTGGCGTCACCAGGTGCCACATACGGGTTATTCACTTACCGTCGGGTAAGCAATATTAGGGACAATAAAGTGGGAGGTAAAGTTTGGGGATGGGAAAAATGTTGATTAGGTGTGGAAGGGAAGGAATGAAGGAGAAAGTAAATGTAGAGGATTGAGTTTGTGGAAGAGTTTGGGGAGGCTTATTGGTATCGAGTGGGGGGGGGGTATGTGTATGTGAGAAAGAATAGGGTTAGGGACAAGACTAGGGTTACAGATAGTTTTAGGGCCAGCTTAAGGGCTAGGATTAGGGTTAGGGTTAGTATTTTGAATAAGGGACAAGACTAGGGTTACAGATAGTTTTAGGGCCAGCTTAAGGGCTAGGGTTAGGGTTAGGGTTAGTATTTTGAATAAGGGACAAGACTAGGGTTACAGATAGTTTTAGGGCCAGCTTAAGGGCTAGGGTTAGGGTTAGGGTTAGTATTTTGAATAAGGGACAAGGCTAAAGTTACAGATAGTTTTAGGGCCAGCTTAAGGGCTAGGGTTAGGGTTAGGGTTAGTATTTTGAATAAGGGACAAGGCTAGATTTACAGATATGTTTAGGGCCACTTAAGGGTAGGGTTAGGGTTAATATTTTGAATAAGGGACAAGGCTAGAGTTACAGATATGTTTAGGGTCACTTAAGGGTAGGGTTAGGGTTAGGGTTAGTATTTTGAATAACGGACGTCTAGGGTTACATATATGTTTAGGGCCAACTTAGGGTAGGGTTAGGGTTAGGGTTAGTATTTTGAATAAGGGGACAAGACTAGGGTTATAGATAGGTTTAGGGCCAAATTGAGGGCTAGGGTTAGGCTTAAGTTTAGGGTTAGTATTTTGAATAAGGGACAAAGCTAGGGCTAGAAACTAGCAAAAGTGTGACCTCAAATACGTCCCTTCGACTTCTTGTTGACGTGCTCAAAGACGTCCTCTGTTCCAGGTTGTCTTCGTGGTCCTAAGCACCGTGGCCGGCGTAACGAAGCACTCCTGGGTCAGCTTCAATGTCACGGTCAAACACATGACCTACCAGGATTCGAACCCCAGCCATTTCAGCTTCGTCGTGGCTTTTATCGCAGTGGGTTTCCTCTTCTCCCTCGTTGTGAACATCGTGTTCTGGAAATTGGAGTGGCCTCGTAGGAAGATGTACCATACATCCCGGCAGACGATCTGCTAGCTCGCATCTGAAGGGCAAAGATAAAATGTATTATACTATCTGCAATGTCTCATGGAGTATTTCTATGCTGAAATGTGTGGTCTATACTTTTGTAAAAAGTTAGGTTTAGATTTATGCAGTCAAAGACAAAATGTATTATACTATCTGCAAGGTTTTATGAAGTATTTCTATGTGTGGTCTATACTTTTGTATAAAGTTAGGTTTAGATTTATATAGTCAAAAAACAAAATGTATCGCACCATCTGCTAGGTCTGCGTATGGCCTATAAGCTTTTTGTTTTAGGGTTAGTTGTATAGTGAAGCAAAACCAAACATTAGTCTACGCTCTAAGTTTACCTTGGTTGTTTAAAATGTTTTTACGAAGAAACGTAAACACGTACAAAATAAAAGAACATTAAAAATAGCAGGTATTGCGAGTTTTATTTTTATTTTTTAAAATTTTGTTAATTCACTCTTTAAGCCCGTAATTTGTTTTTAAGTTTGACGGGAACATTATTGATAAGAATTACTTTTTATGAGTTCTTATTCAAAGAAAAAGAAAGTACGGCCATTTCTCTAAAATAATTATGGATTGGATAAATATCAGCATAAATAATTTAATTTTTGGTTAATTTTATAACGCGGCGACTTAAAACGATTATACAATAAAAAATCAACGAGAAAAATACAAGAAGAAAATTACACGAAAAATGGCCGCTCTAGCGACATCATGACCTAGATTTACGATTACAAACTTTGGATTCTGAAAACACCGATTAGACAGGGAAAATACTAAGGGTCGCTGAGAGCTTCGTTAAGGTCTTAAAGAGTTTATCTAAGGCACATTACTCAATAATTACTTGAAAAATTAGGCCTATATTTACAATTATGCTAAAAAAATAAATAACGAGAATCTTTAGAATCAGCCGTGTCATAGTAAATGGTTCAGCAATCATTTCAAAGAACCAAAACAATCATTACAGGAACAACAATTTTCAAAACAATCCTTAAAACAAGCACCACACACAACAGTTATCTCATCAATCACCTAAACAATCATTACAAAAAACCACAATTATTGCAACATTCACCTAAACAATCATTACAGAAACCACAATTATCGCAACAATCACCTAAACAATCATTACACAAACCACAATTATCGCAACAATCATAAAAGCATTACAGAAACACAAAAGTGACTTATGTTTGTATCAGAAACACAAAAGTGAATTAAGTTTGTATCAGAAACAAAAACGTGACTTAAATTTATATCAGAAACACAAAAGTAACTTACATTTGTATCAGAAACACAAAAGTTACTTAAGTTTGTATCAGAAACACACAAGTGACACAGGTTTGTATCAGAAACACAAAAGTGAATTAAGTTTGTATCAGAAACACAAAAGTGACTTAGGTTTGTATCAGAAACACAAAAGTGACACAGGTTTGTATCAGAAACACAAAAGTGAATTAAGTTTGTATCAGAAACACAAAAGTGACTTAGGTTTGTATCAGAAACACAAAAGTGACTTAAGTTTGTATCAGAAACACAAAAGTGACTTAGGTTTGTATCAGAAACACAAAAGTGAATTAAGTTTGTATCAGAAACACAATAGTGACTTAAATTTGTATAAGAAACACAAAAGTAACTTAAGTTTGTATCAGAAACACAAAAGTGACTTAAGTTTGTATCAGAAACACAAAGTGACTTATGTTTGTATCAGAAACACAAAAGTGAATTAAGTTTGTATCAGAAACACAAAAGTGAATTAAGTTTGTATCAGAAACACAAAAGTGACTTAGGTTTGTATCAGAAACACAAAAGTGAATTAAGTTTGTATCAGAAACACAATCGTGACTTAAATTTGTATAAGAAACACAAAAGTAACTTAAGTTTGTATCAGAAACACAAAAGTGACTTAAGTTTGTATCAGAAACACAAAGTGACTTATGTTTGTATCAGAAACACAAAAGTGAATTAAGTGTGTATCAGAAACAAAAACGTGACTTAAATTTATATCAGAAACACAAAAGTGACTTACATTTGTATCAAAAACACAAAAGTGACTTAAGTTTGTATCAGAAACACACAAGTGACACAGGTTTGTATCAGAAACACAAAAGTGAATTAAGTTTGTATCAGAAACACAAAAGTGACTTAGGTTTGTATCAGAAACACAAAAGTGACTTAAGTTTGTATCAGAAACACAAAAGTGACACAGGTTTGTATCAGAAACACAAAAGTGAATTAAGTTTGTATCAGAAACACAAAAGTGACTTAGGTTTGTATCAGAAACACAAAAGTGAATTAAGTTTGTGTAACACATATCGTTACCAGCCAAAGGGGGATAAAACTATGAAGTTTTTATTCATTGGGTTGCGGCCCCTGTGGGACTGCAACTGAACTGTTGACGTTTTTTTTATGCTTTTGTGAGCGAAATTACCTGTGTTCCATGTCATGTGACATGTGCCTAGTCGTGTCGCACACGCAAGGCTGCTGTCTGTGGACCAAGATGTAGACCTAATGAAGGTAGTGTAGATATATAAATTCCTGCTAGTGCTGCATGTGCACACTAGTTAGGGTGATGTATTAAATTAAGTATTTATTTTGTAGTACTACTTATTGGTACTTGTTGGCAGTACTGTGTGCTGGCCGAAAACATAATTTATTGTACCCGTGTATATTGTAGCTTACACGTGGTGTTGTCCTGAATGTAACTTTTTTATTTTACATTTGTTTTAGGGCTACAGTTTTCTGTTTCTATTTTGATCTTTTGATCTTTTGATCTTTTGGTCTTTTGGATTGTTTGGATCTTTTGGTCTACCTTGGCTAGTTCGTTTTGTGTTGCATCGCCGTCATGGCTCGATGCTATAAATAAACGAGTACTGGACAACAACTGTCGGTGTCGGTGTATACTTAATCTCAGGGTCAGCCCGTCTTAAACCACAACACCTCAGTGGGTAAAAGCATCCCCACTGAGTGAGGGTTACATTTGGCGCCCAACGTGGGGCTTGACCTTGGGAGGTAGGATGGAAAGCACCAAGCCGACGTTCGAGAAGTTGTCGCAAGAGCTGGCCAAGTTGAAGGCTAAGATGGCTGATCTACAACACGCAAGTGCGCAGCGGCCCGTGACGGTAAAGGTGTGTGCTCCAGTACACAGCGATGATGACGAGTTCACCGACTTTCTACCCACGGGCGGGGTTGCAGGGGAAGCTAGCCCGAAGATGGAGTCCGTCCTGAAAGCTGTTAAAAGGCTGGACGGGACAACTGAGTCTCCAGTCGTAGCCACGGCAGCAGCTAACAGGACTATCCAGGTAGACTCACTAACGGCAGCCGTTCGCCAAGAGACGACGCCGCTGATACTCACGGAGGAACAACTTGACCGTCTGGCGGAGAAGGTGGCAGCAGCTATCCTAGCCCGGAAACAACGGCCTTACAGAGGAGCTTGTTACGGGTGCGGGTCCAGGAAGCACTTCGTCCGCGACTGTCCTAGGAAAGCAGCTAGGCAACGGAGTCAGCAGCAGGGGAAATGCCAGTCTATCAGCGTCGGGGAGCGGATGCTGATGCGTGTTCTGCCAAGCTCCCAGCCCAAGTTTACGCCACCGAGATCAGCACAGTGTCGAGCAACCACAGCTCAGGTTACCTCGCCTAACGGCTGGAGGTACGGCTGTCGGGTGTTCCGCCGTGGCGGAGGGTTGCAGCCGGAGGGTGCGCGTGAGAAGGGTAGACAGCCACACTATGAATGTCAGTCTCAGCGCGAGCAAGATCGTCGCTTGGGAGACAGACATGACACAAGCAGAGGTCGGAGACGCCGCCGGAGGAGAGGCCGACGACGTGGTGGACGCCGCCGTGGTTGGCAGCGACCCGACTATACAATGTCGAGTGCTGAACCCACTGTGGCGGAGGGGGAGCGACGGAGAGAGATCATCCCAACCAGTGAGGCAGATGAAGGTGAGGAACTGACAATCAAGGTAGTGGTCCCAACCAGACTTCGGCCGGAGGCAACGCCTTTCGTGCCCGAGGTGGTCGCCCGGGACGGACAAGACAAGGTGATGGTCAGGCCAGCCCCACATCTGGATGAGGTGAATGCGAGGGACGAGGCATCGGACGAGGATGACTCTTGGATCAACCCAGAACCACCAGCGGAGCTGCGGAGGTCAACCCGTCAACGACGACCCGTCGAGCGACTCAACCTGGCGCATCAAGTGGTGACCAGTACCAGCACTGGAGCCAGCACCGGTTTGCCGGGAATAATCTATTTGAGTTGAAAGGACTTAATGTCTGTGTACTTGTGTACTGAACTTTTTTTTTTTAAGTACTATTATGTATGAGTGTAAATGTAAATGTAAATGTGAATTCCATTGTACATTTATTTGTGAGGGGGGCTGTGTAACACATATCGTTACCAGCCAAAGGGGGATAAAACTATGAAGTTTTTATTCATTGGGTTGCGGCCCCTGTGGGACTGCAACTGAACTGTTGACGTTTTTTTTATGCTTTTGTGAGCGAAATTACCTGTGTTCCATGTCATGTGACATGTGCCTAGTCGTGTCGCACACGCAAGGCTGCTGTCTGTGGACCAAGATGTAGACCTAATGAAGGTAGTGTAGATATATAAATTCCTGCTAGTGCTGCATGTGCACACTAGTTAGGGTGATGTATTAAATTAAGTATTTATTTTGTAGTACTACTTATTGGTACTTGTTGGCAGTACTGTGTGCTGGCCGAAAACATAATTTATTGTACCCGTGTATATTGTAGCTTACACGTGGTGTTGTCCTGAATGTAACTTTTTTATTTTACATTTGTTTTAGGGCTACAGTTTTCTGTTTCTATTTTGATCTTTTGATCTTTTGATCTTTTGGTCTTTTGGATTGTTTGGATCTTTTGGTCTACCTTGGCTAGTTCGTTTTGTGTTGCATCGCCGTCATGGCTCGATGCTATAAATAAACGAGTACTGGACAACAACTGTCGGTGTCGGTGTATACTTAATCTCAGGGTCAGCCCGTCTTAAACCACAACACCTCAGTGGGTAAAAGCATCCCCACTGAGTGAGGGTTACATTTGTATCAGAAACACAGTCGTGACTTAAATTTGTATAAGAAACACAAAAGTAACTTAAGTTTGTATCAGAAACACAAAAGTGACTTAAGTTTGTATCAGAAACACAAAGTGACTTAAGTTTGTATCAGAAACACAAAAGTGACATTGGTTTGTATCAGAAACACAAAAATGACGTAAGTTTGTATCAGAAACATAAAAAAGTGACTGAGGATCTCACACTCTACATTGTGTTTGTTCCAGATCAAGGCTACGATGTAAATTGAACAGAGATCAGTCAACTAACGTTACATAATCAGTTAAGTTAAGTAACATCATCGAACCAGTTGTAATACGTTTTTGCTATGTTATTGTTGTAGACTATGGCAGAGTTTAGCTTTTGAGTAACTTTATTCTTTACAATTTTTGCTTTCTCGAATACAGAGTATACAAAAAGGGCTGTAATTTTAATCGTGTCGAATAATTAAATCTATGGTTTATCTTATATGGAATATAAAGAAAGCATTGTAATCGTGAACAAATAAAAATCGAGATTTTGACAAATTTTGACGCTTTATAACACACCTTTGTTTCTGTAATTTCTGACAGTCTGTCTGTGTGTATGTAAACACAATAACTTGATTATCGATTCAGTTAGGTTGATGAATTTTTTAATTAGTGTTTTATCGAATTTGTTTTTATTTTTTTTATTTTTAGCGACTTTAAAAAAAAAATAATTTCATGTTTAATTAACGTTAAAAAAATTAATAAATGTAATCAATGCTGTTTTTCCGCGGAATTGTTTGCTTTCAAAAAAATCGCTCGCATTTTTATGTGTTTAAAAAAAAAAATTGTCCGATTGATTTGAAAGTGCCGTCCCGATTTATTTTTTTATGAAATTTTTTTTTAAAGACACTATAAATTCCGTGTGTTTAACTTTAAATGAGACATAGATTACGCACCATTTTAAAAAACCCAATAATTCAGTGCACCACAAAAAACCGCTATATGTATGAATGCGATATTGAAACACCAATGGCTGTTCAGCTGTATGAAAGGGAATGAAACAAATAAGAACTACACATACTGTAAACATTAACAATGTATATTTTGTAAATTTCAAAAGTTTATTGAAATAGTGTTTTTAGCCTATAACTAGATTCTATATCCACAAGCTTGTTTATTAGTTACTGCTGATATAGATGATTTATACTTTTTCTACTGCATAATTAGATACGATATTTAGAAGTAGATTCTAGATTAGATCTAGATCTATCTAGATCTGGATTAGATCAGAGATTAATGGTGTGAGAAGGGTTTATCAAATTTTAAGCCTAGAATCTAGATCTTGTTAAAACTCTAAGCAATGAAGCTAGATTCTGCCTTAACAATGAATGGTACTTCATCGTTGTTATTATTAACAATTATACAGTTTTCAAAGCTAATCACCTACGTTTTAGTTTACGAATATAGCTGAACATTATAATCAGCTACGGTATAGTTTATGAGTATAGCTCATCGGCATAATCGCCACTTTTTAGTTTATGACTAGCTGATCGTCATATTCATCTTCGTTTTAGCTTATGAATATAGCTTTTGCAAAAGTCACCTAAGTTATAGTTTATGAATACAGCTTTTCGTAAAAGTCAACTAAGTTATAGTTTATGAATATAGCAGATCATAAACACCAGAGCTGATAACTAAACATATTTCCATTTGGAGTTCATCATACTAGGAAGTTAAGTGTTTTTTTTTTAAATCTCTAACCCTTTCGTACAGCTAAACAAAACTGATGGTCATGGGGTGTTGATAGACCTTGGTGTCACGTGCTACAGATGCGTGCTGCCCTACGTCATCAGCTGATGAGCTGGGGCTATAGCACCAATAATTAGACGAAGGGAAGAGTTCTGTTGCCATAGAGCTGATCGTTCAGGGGCACCGCGGAATAATGACGTCAGAAGTGGATAATGTTTGGGAACAGGTGGTTGACAGGTGAGAGGGGTTGGTAGAAGGGTTGGTAGGGGGTTGGTAGAGGGGTTGGTTGATGGGGTTGGTAGAAGGGTTGGTAGAAGGGTTAGTAGAGGGGTTGGTAGGGGGTTGGTAAAGGGGTTGGTAGGGGGTTGGTAGAGGGGTTGGTAGAGTGGTTGGTAGAGGGGTTGGTATAGGTGTTGGTAGAGGGGTTGGTAGAGGGGTTTGTAGAGGTGTTGGTAGAGGGGTTGATTGAATTGTTGGTAGAGGGGTTGGTAGAGGGGTTGGTAAAGGGGTTGGTAGATGGGTTGATTGAAGGGTTGGTAGAGGGGTTGGTAGGGGGTTGGTAAAGGGTTGGTAGAGGGTTGGTAGAGGGGTTGGTAGGGGGGTTGGTAGAGGGGTTGGCAGAGGGGTTGATAGAGGGTTGGTTGGGGGGTTGGTAGAGGGGTTGGTAGAGTGGTTGGTAGAGTGGTTGGTAGAGGGGATGATAGAGGGTTGGTTGGGGGGTTGGTAGAGGGGTTGGTAGAGGGGTTAATGAGGGGTTGGTAGAGGGGTTAATGAGGGGTTGGTAGAGGGGTTGGTAGAGGGTTGGGTAGAAGGGTCGCTAGAGTGGTTGATATAGGGGTTGGTAGAGGGGTTGAGAAGTTGTGTTGTAAGAAGAAAAAAAATAGCAACGTTTAGGGTTAGTGCTAGTTCACACATCCCCACTCAAAACTCATGCACTAATTTTTGTCACACATCCACACTCAAAAGTCATGCACTAATTTTTGTCACACACACACATCCCCACTCAAAACTCATGCACTAATTTTTGTCACACATCCCCACTCAAAACTCATGCACTAATTTTTGTCACACATCCACACTCAAAAGTCATGCACTAATTTTTGTCACACACACACATCCCCACTCAAAACTCATGCACTAATTTTTGTCACACATCCCCACTCAAAACTCATGCACTAATTTTTGTCACACATCCCCACTCAAAACTCATGCACTAATTTTTGTCACACATCCACACTCAAAAGTCATGCACTAATTTTTGTCACACACACACATCCCCACTCAAAACTCATGCACTAATTTTTGTCACACATCCACACTCAAAAGTCATGCACTGATTCTTGTCACACATCGTCACGAAAACGTCATGTATAATTTTTGTCACACATCACCATACAATCCTTTTACGTCACTTTTCGGCACCCTGTCGTTACGTCACCGTGACACATCATTTCTTTGTCACAAATTGTGCCTCTGGTACATATAACAGAACCCCTCTCCCCAACCGATTAACTAAAACAACTACAACCTACACACATTACAGTTAAGATACGGAAATCTTACGATTAATGATTTCCTTATCTTAACTGTAACTTTCCATTTTCAGTAGGTTAAGACGTTTAAGCCTAACCTTAACCCAACTTTTTCCAGGATGTCTTGTGCGCAGTTCATCACGAAGATCAGCATTTTTTATCAAGCTGTACTCACTTTCTGCACATTCAACATCGGCATGTTTTCTCCGTGGATCGGAACTTATGATGTAAGACATGTTTTGTGTTGTGTCTATGTACTGGACACATTAGTGTAGTGTGTCTGCGTTCGACACATTATTGTGGTCTGTCTGCGTGCTTGACACATTATTGTGGAGTGTCCGAATCCTGGACACATTATTGTGGAGTGTCCGAATCCTGGACACATTATTGTGGAGTGTCCGAATCCTGGACACATAATTGTGGAGTGTCTCCGCGCTGGACACACTATTGTGGGGTGTCTGCGTTTAGATTTCAGCCAGCTTTATATTCTGGAATTGCTTCCTCAGCCTTTGTCCAACCAAGAACACATAACAAGGCAGCAGTTGTTTGATTTGTGTTTTTTTTTTTACTCTTTTAAATGAGTTTAACTACCTGCAATAGTACATTTCAAAATGAATTTTTTATCAATACATTATATAAACAAAACAATACTATAAAATAAATCAATGTTGCCATATTGTTATAAAACATAAACAATGTATGTATAGGATTCATTAGGTCTTTTTGTCCACAGAACAACAAAGTCAATTACTCACAGAACTTGATCTACGAGTGTTATGGCAGAGCCTGCTACACGTTAGAAGATAGAGGTGAACAAGATGGAATTTTTTTGGTTAAAATATACGACAAGAACGTTTCAATTGTGTTGTCCTTTTTTTGTGTGTTAAAAGTTAGTCTGGTCATGTTAGACCCCTGTACAGATGACGTTAGGATATTTTTTTTTCGTTAGACATTCTTCCCGTATTTACACACGATAGTTAGAGACAGTGGATAAATAACTTATTTAAAAAGTACATATATATATATATATATATGTATATATATATATATATATATATATATATATATATATATATAAATATATATATATATATATATATATATATATATATATATATATATATATATATATATATATATATATATATATATATATATATATATGTATATACCCTAATGTATAATATATATAAATATAAGCATATACAAACGTAATCATAAACACGTATATATATATAATATATAGGCTATATATATATATATTTATACCTCTATATATATATATATATATATATATATATATATATATATATATATATATATATATATATATATATATATATATATATATATATATATATATATATATATATATATATATACCTATATATATATATATATATATATATATATATATATATATATATATATATATATATATATACATGTAAGAATATACTTTGTGAACAGCCAGCGATTTCCGCATCTTCCTGTTTGTGGTAGCGGCTCTTGTTATGACCATCTACTACATCCTGTGTCTAGTCCAGCTGGCGGCCATGTTGTGTCCTTCTATTCGATATTCTGGGGCTTTTGGAACCATCTACCTCACATTATGTAAGCAAAATATTTGTTGTTTTTTGTTAATTTTTTTTTAAATACCTCACATTATGTAATTAAAATTTGTGCTTTTTTAATAAGTCAAACTTTTTTTAAATACCCCACTTTGTGTAAACAAAATGTTTTTTTTTTATTAAAAACTTTTTTTAAAATACTTCACATTATGTAAACAAAATATTTTTTGTTTTTGTTAAAAACTTTTTTTAAATACCTCACATTATGTAAACAAAATATTTGTTGTTTTTGTTTTAAACTTGTTTTTAAAATACCTCACATTATGTAAAGAAAATATTTGTTGTTTTTGTTAAAACCTTTTTAAATACCTCACATTATGTAAACAAAATATTTGTTGTGCTTTGTTAAAACCTTTTTTTTAAATACCTCACATTATGTAAACAAAATATTTATTGTTTTTGTTAAAAACTTTTTTTTAAATACCTCACATTATGTAACAAAATATTTGTTGTTTTTTGTTAAAAACTTTTTTTTAAATACCTCACATATGTAAAGAAAATATTTGTTGTTTACACTTTTTTAAGTACCTCACATTATGTAAACAAAATATTTGTTGTTTTTCTTAAAAACTTTTTTTAAAAACCTTACGTTAGGTAAGCAACATAGGGGCCTATTAGTTGTTTTTGTTTACAATTTTTTTTAAATACTTCACATTATGTAAACAAAATATTAGTTGTATTTGTTAAAAACGTTTTTTAAAAACCTTACGTTATGTAAGCAACATAGGGGACTATTTGTTGTTTTTGTTTACAATTTTTTTTAAATACCTCACATTATGTAAAGAAAATATTAGTTGTAATTGTTAAAAACTTTTTTTAAATACCTCGCATTATGTAAACAAAATATTTTTTGTTTTTGTTAAAAACGTTTTTTAAATACCTCACATTATGTAAACAAATATCGTGTTTCTTTTATTAGTTAATGTTTTTTTTAATTCTTCAAATTTTCGTAAACAAAATTTGTGTTTCTTTTATTAGTTAATGTTTTTTAAACTAAATTTTAAAACGATATTTGAAGATGTAAAAAAATAATCAGAAAATGTGGAGCTGAATGCATAAAACTGTTAGAATATTCTTACTTCATACTTTATTGGGCTTTAATATTTTATGAACTTTGAAAATCTTATGAATAGCTTAAAATGTTTGTGATGGCCCCTGTTTTCACAGTAACCAAGATTCACACTCCAAAATGTGTTAATAGAATGTTCCATAAATAGCTATGAAGAAATAACACAAGGTAAATCGCTAAACTACGCCTTCTCGGTGAAGGAATATATATGTGGTATCGTCGTCATATTATTTCATGCATAGTTTGCACTTGTGTTTACGGTAGTTTATTTTGTTACCAGCAGTTATAGGGTTAACGTCGATAATGTGTTGCTTCCTAAAGTGCTATTATTTTTATGACCTTTAATGGGTTAAAGTTATTTTTTTCCATAGAAATCATTGGTTTAACCCTTCATGTTGGGTTGTTTCTAAAGTTTTATTCCTTTTACCAGTACGTATACGATTAAATGTGTAATGTTTCTTTTTAACCAGCCATTATGGGGTTGACGTTGATGATTGGCTATGGGACGATTGTTGTACCTTTAGACGAGAGACCGGAGTTCAGGTGAGTCGCGTTTCGTTTCTTTTTTTACGACGTTGTAGTTTTGAGGTTTGTTTTTTTAGAAAGCTTTTGAGTAATTTCAGAATCGTACCGAGTTTTTTATTTTCTATTTTTTGTTTTGTTTTTATTGCTTCTACTGATATGAGTTAGGATGAGAAATAAATTATTGGTAAGAGGATAAGAACGGTTTTCTAGGATGAGGCTCAAGGTTTTCTTTCAGTCTTGGGTTTTACTAAGGGATCCCCTCCAGCACAATTAAGTATACTGTCAACTGGTTTTTCGCCATTGAGGCCATTGACTCCGATTTCAGCCTGCATTTCTCTTTAGATTTGCTTCCATAGCCTTTGTCCAACCAAGAACAAACTACAAGGCAGCAGTTGGTTGATTTTGGAGTTTTCTCTCCTAGAAGAGTGGCTGTCCACAGCTAACGAGCCTCATCTGCCCGAGGGCTCGAACTCTAGACTTATCGGTTTAGCAGCCATAACTTTAACGACTCGAACACTGATTTTATCAACTGTTCACTTTGTGCCTAAGACATATGGGCTGCCAAAGAAAGGTTCTTCCGTCTTTGCCGACCCCCACCCCCCGGGAATTTTTTAGTGCCAGTGCCCCAATATAGTCACTATTTTTTTTTACCGTGCGGCACTAGGTTTCCATTGACCTTGCCTGTTTCCTTTTCCCTTGAATCTTTCAGTCAAGCGCCATCCCAATAATATTATCTTGATTCATTCTTAAAACCGTGACTCATCTAGTATCATCTTTCTGTTTTTACTTTCTCATAAACGAAGTATAGAGGTAGTATTGTAATCGTGAAAAAAAAACAAAAAAAACAACAGATTTTCAAAAATTACGAAGTTTTACACCTATCTGAGTAGAAATAAACATAGTAGTTTTGCAATTTTGTCCATATGTCTGTGTGTGTATGCATGTCTGTGAGTACCGTAACAGCTCGGTTGATAAAATTTCATATATAAGTATTATATCAAATTTTTAGTTCTGTATCAACTTTTCAGCGATTTCCGATAACCGGAAATGAAACTTATTCAAGTTTAATTTTGAACTATTTTTTTTTATTAATTTTAATTTAATTTAAAACCGCTAGTGAAATACGGCATAACTAATTTAATTACATACGGATTACGTTTATTTTTAATTTTTTTTTTTTTTTTTTTTTTGCAGGTTCCTGTGGGGATTTTACGTGTATCTGCTGGCCATTTTCATGTTGCTAGCGGCGGCCTGTGACTGCTTCAGGATGACGCCCAATGTCTTCCCTGGGTTTCTGGGTGGAGGGGTGGAGCCCGACTACGACATTGTGTAGTGGGCGTGGCTAACTGGACAACGTGGGGGGTGGGGATGATGTGAGTAGGACAGAGAGGCTCGCGTGAGTGTTCAGGGTGTATTGAATTTTGGGGTGGTAAATAGTTGTACAAGGGGGCGGAATGGACTAGCGGTAGATTGCTAGACTGCTAGCACGAAAGTCTCGAGTTCATATGAGAGATGCGTCACTGAGTCCACCCAGCTCTGATGAGTACCTAGCTCATGTTAGGGAAACACAAGCGGCTGGGTATAGAGCTGACCACATTGTCCCCTTGCATGTCGAATTAAATGAAACAGATAAACTCTACTTCATCTGCCCCATTAGTCTTGGAAAAAATAGAGATGATGAAATAGTTTCAATGCATTATAAGTATCGCATGGTGTCGGAGTATTGCGGGGTGTTGTATAAAATGTTTGGGCATGTGAGATATTGTAGAAGCTGTGGTTTGGAGGTGTTATATAGTGCTACCAAGTTCAGTAGTTTATGGCCATAGTATAACCTTCCAGTAAAAAGTTCACCGGCATGGGCGCAAGAGTTCCTAGATGAACTTCAACGGCCATTAATTTGTGATCAAGGAGAGCCACCTAGATAGAGACACCCGGCTGTGGTCAGGCATAGAGAGGGGTGGGTGCCACCATGCGACACTTAGCCCTAGACACTCCACTCTGTGGCAGGGGCGTAGCGAGGGGGGGGGGGGCGGGGGGGCGGACCGCACGAGTGACACCATTTAGGGGGGGTGACACCAAGGCAAAAAATAGGAAAATATATAGAGAAAAACTTGAGAGGGGGGGGGGGTGAAAATCGAAAGTTCGAGGGTGGGGGTGCAAATCGAAAGTTTGAGGGGGGGTGCAAATCGAAAATTTGAAAGTTTGTCCCCGGGAAGGGTCGCTACGCCTCTGGGGGGGTGACACCATTAAGTGCCGCACCGGGTGACACCCGACCTCGCTACGCCACTGCTCTGTGGTACCTAACTAACATAACAAGGGTTGAGGGATTATATAGATTTAAATAGCCTATTAAATGTGTTGTATAGTCTTAATTTATTATGTATTGCCAGAGTGTGTTCTGAGTGTTTTTTTTATTCCAGTTCATGTAAGGGATTATCTGCTGTAAGACACTGGAGAATTTGTGACCATCTTTACCTCTGACTTGTGAGAATGGATCTGGAATCCTGTCATGGGGTTGTCTTAGAATGTTGGTTCCTGTAATGCTAGGTAGGAAACAGTGCCAGGAATGTCGTTACATCGATGGCATGTGTAAAGAAAGAGCGAATACATCTCTATTTATTTACATCACGGGTGAAGAGTCTAGTTTATCACACGTTAAATAGTTTCCAGTAAAATAATAGGTTTAATAGTCCCGTTATATTTATTTCTAAATAGTTTCCAGTAAAATAATAAATCTAGTTATATCCTTTTCTAAATAGTTTCCAGTATAATAATAGGTTAAAAAGTCTAGTAATACATATTTCTAAATAGTTTCCAGTAAAATAATAAATCTAGTTATATCCTTTTCTAAATAGTTTCCAATATAATAATAGGTTAAAAAGTCTAGTTATCTATAAATAATAAGTAAGCAACTCTAGTTATATCATCATCTTCATTTCCCTTTCATGCCCAAGACAAATAGGGAAGATGAAGTAGAGTTCACCTGCTTCAAAGACCACGGCATATGAAGGGATAGTGGGGCTAGCACTATGCTCAGCCGCATTTGTTTCCCTAACGTAAGTTAGGTACCTATTAGAGCTGACTGGTCTCAGGGAAGTTCCACTGCTTGAATCCGGATTCGAACGAGACTTTCGGGTTAGCAGTCTAGCTCTCTCTACCGCTAGGCCCATCAGTATAGTTATATATTTTCTAATGTCAGAAAATAATAGGCTAGTTAGTCTAGTTATATATATTTCTGAACAGCTCCCAGAAAAACAATAGGTTAGTGCAGGGGTCGGCAACCTTTTGAGGCGGAAGAGCCAAAAGTTACAATTTACAAAATTTTCCAGTTTTTAAAGAGCCTCTAACATTTTTTCCCCCGATATTATGGTTTGATTAGGATTAGATAAATAAATTTAAAATAAATGGGTTAAAGTATGAAACACTATTTATTCATATAAAAACATACACGTTTCGCACAGAACATAAGAAAGTATTTACGCAAGTTCTGCTTGAAAAATAAAATTAAATTATAAAACTTTAGCACTATCCCTACCCAATGTAGAAGCTAATAACTAAAAAATTATGTCACTCAAGTCTAATTAATGCACAATGACATATAGGCCCTACAAAATGCTTTCTGAAAAAAAATTACTATTCTAAATATTAGAAAAAAAATGTGCACTACGGCAGTTGAAATCATGGAACCAGCTTCCACGGGGCTGGCCACAGCAAAGTTGAGGAGCTAGGCCTTGTACCCAAGCAGCTGTCAGCTGTCTGTATGCGCTCTAACTTATCTACTCATAGTGTTTTTATCTTGTTCTAAGTTGTTTTTACAGTATAATATTTGTATCAGTTATGATAATAAAAATAACATAAGCCGCATCCTGACATCAAAGGAGCCGCATGCGACTCGCGAGCCACTTGTTGCCAACCCTGTCTTAGTTTAATTAAGAAGAGAGTTTTTTTGCTCTTTTTTTGTTCTATAAAAGGTAATTATACATTTAGCCACACAGTAGGACTTTGTCATGAAAAGCAATCAATTATTGAATGTTTTGCATGAAAACAAATCGCGTGTTTAATTTCGCTAGCCCTTTTAATTTTTTATTTAAGCGTTGAAAGTAAATGTTTGCTTTATGATTTTTAAAATTTTTACACAGGTTATGTAAAAAACTTAAAATATATACCTACGTAAACATCAAACAATACGCTGTTGATTTAAAGAAATTATATCTAACTTTATTTAATATTTAAAATTAATTAATATTTGTTATTTCCCATGAACATAATTTATTTTAGTATGGGAAGTAACTGCTAACACAATCGGTATTCTGTGTTACAAAAAATGATATTTTCTATAAAACATTACAATGTATCAAAACTTATCACAAGTTATGATTATATATATATATATATATATATATATATATATATATATATATATATATATATATATATGTATATATATATACAATTATATTGTTTTTTGTTGTTTTTCCTCTGATTTTAAAGCACCTCATTTAACACAACATCATGAATTCCAATTTATTTATGAGAATACATATATGGTTAAGATTTTTTTATCTTATCGAGATTCAGTTGTCTGTGTGAAAAGCCCTCGATTATTAAATACAGCAGTTTTAAATGAAAAGATTGGCCTTAAGACTTGTTGATTATGATCTAGAAATAAAGATCTCGAACAATCAAGGGGATCATATGAATAAATACATTTTCGCCCTAATACAGTCCATTTTAAATTGTTGCCTTAATCTTGAGCCGTATCAGTTTTGGTTGATTAAATTTGTTATCGACCGAATTTGTACAGGTAATTTTTGCGCAGGAAGGTCAATAGATTAGAGAAAATTAAGAAATATATAGGTTAATTTGTTACCTCAACTTGGTTTATGTAAGTGTCTTAATAATCATCACGTCTTATATTATATCCATAGCCTATCGCGCTGTTTAAAATGAACGTAGCCGCCATGGTGCTCACGGGTACACCCGGTATCAATCTGCAAGCGACTTTTATTTTTATATACCGTATATAGAGAATAATCGCCCTGCCGGGGAGCCATCCTGCTAATTTGCATTTTTTTACAGATACCTCTCAACAACTTCCTAGTTTCATGGCGATCAGATGAAAGGTGTGGTAATGAATATAAGACAAACAGAAACACACACTCACGCACATACATTTCTTTATATATATATATATATATATATATATATATATATATATATATATATATATATATATATATATATATATATATTTATATATATATATGTGACCTTCCCCGAGTCTATCCTGCCCGACAACGCCAATTGCAACGAGTTGAACCACTCATGCTACACAACATCGACTACAGTAGAAAGACTCGAAGATGCAGGTTCGCTATTGATCCTTTTATTACATGAATCAAGAAATGCTTCAATATAACACAATGAATCAACAGGAATGTTTCACAATAATAGTCTGAATCAACTGACCCCTAACAGTCCTCACTAGGCTTCATATAACTGAATCCACATGTCTATTGTCCTTCTTAACACAATATAACCAACTTGATATGTCACACAGACTGACTGATCTAAAGCGAGCGATGAAGAGGGAAGAGAGCGAGTTCTGCCGTCCCCTCCTATTTATCCCTTGTATTCGTACTCATCTTCGTACTTGTATTCCTCCGTAATCGATACTTGTACTCGATGTCTCCGACCACTAGTTGCGCAGTTCTAACGTACAGTCCGTGTCATAAACATCTGCATCCTATCAATCAAAGTTGACAGGCCGTCTGAATCCCCTCGTACCGTTTCCCAAAATAGCACGCGTTGGCTTTGAGATTGTTATCAGTCCGATCCAATAAGCCACCTGCTATCGGTTGCATCAGACTGTAATACTGCGTCTCGGCTTATCGTTCGTTATCAGATTTGTAACTAGTAGCTAGGCCTACCCTAGTTACATCCACCCCTGCCTTTTTTTGTGTGTTTTCCACCACAAACAACGCCTGGCAGGTGCGCTCCTCCAAAGTCAATCGCACAATCGTAAAAAATTTTTACTGTTCCACTCACTGTCCACGACGTCCCATTCGTATACGATTGACAGTTATACCTATTTCACATATCAACTGTGTCTACATCGTCTTCCTGAGACACAAAACAGTTCTAGAATTTACATCCACCCTTTTCGTTTGGTGCCTTCACCAGTTCCGTTTTATAGCTTTTTGAACCGTCTGTTCTCATACCAGCGCGACCATGAAAGACTTGATGGTTGCTGACAAAAAATTTCGTCTTCCTTCTGTTCCTCAAACTTCTCCGCGGACCACTTATCTGATGGTCTACTGTCTCTCTGCTTCT